TTTCTTTCTCCTTCTTCTTCTTCTTCTTCTTCTTCTTCTTCTTCTTCTTCTTCTTCTTCTTCTTCTTCTTCTTCTTCTTCTTCTTCTTCTTCTTCAGAAGCGGGGATTGAACTCAGATCTTTGCGCTTGCTAGGGAAGCTCTTATTCTACTGAGCCATCTCCCCAGCCCCACTCATTTCTTGACATGCAGCAGCTCCTATTGTTAATTATTTTTGTCATACACAGATGGAGCCTAAAAGAGGGAAACGTAGTAAAAAAGCACACATCTGCAATGCCCAGAGGAAGTGTCTCCCAGCACAACCACTGTGTAGAAGTACTTTAGCATGTATTCTCCAACATAGACTACTCATGATGGCATTTTAGAACTTTACAACACAAATTTACTTTTGTTGTGGGGAGGAGGGAAAGAGCTGTTATTACTACCAAATTTTGTTTTTTGAGGGACCTGCAGCTCCAGCTAGAGTTAAGTGTGTGGGCCCAGAGGCAAGGGTATTGGCCCACATCCTGTTTCTGTTTTTACAGCTACGAAACATCTGCTTGCCAGCCTGTTTAGAACTTTACCATGTTGAGCTGTAGGATTGAATTTATAGGTGGGAAGGCAATGGGTGGCAATTTCCTTAATATTTCAGCAATTTTCCACACAAAATAACCTACATATGAATATATACTGTTCCAGGGATTACAGTTACTTTTTATTTTTAAAATACTAAATTAAAAATGCTAAATTAAATTAATTTAGTCTCATCATCCAATAATTACTTTAGGGAATTTTTTTTTTTCCCATTAAGGCCCAGGGAGATAGCTTAGTAGAATAAGTAATTGCCTGGCAAGCACAAGGTCCTGAGTTCAATCCCTGGTACCACAAAGAAAATAAATAAATAAAAAAAATAAAAATAAAAAGTGTTCAATAGGTTTGGGAGAAAGCTCCATAGTCTAACCACCTGCCTGGAATGCACAAGGACCTGGGTTTGATCTCTGTTGCTGTATACTATGCTGACCCTGGAACTCTGGGTGCACCGTACTGGCCATCGAACTGGGTATGGTGGCATAAGCCTATAATCCCAGTACTGGGGAGGTTGAGAAAGGAGGGTCACTATGAGTCTGAGCTGTGTAGTAAGACCCTGTACCACATAAGTAAATAAATAAGAGATTTTAAAAAATTATAAAAGGGCTCACTATCCATTATTCCATGGTATAATTATATACCATCATGATGGCTGCATAATCATAATTACTAGTTTACATAGACGATCCTAAAAGTTAAAAATCACTCAGCAAGTCAAATAAACCTGATTCACTTTCCATTCCTCACAAGGATGAAACTCTTTTTTTTTTTTCTTAAATGATTTTAGGACAGGGTCTGCAGGATGTACAGG